TTTTTCCCTTCCTGATTTTTGTATTGGGTGGGTACTTGCTGTAGATCTGATATTGTGAGGATATACAGTATATAACGACGATTATTTCTTGATGAGGGCTTGATGCATGATTTTTCGAGTGCATGTTTACATGTGAGAGGATTTTGCTTGATAGGCGCCTGTGATATGCTTGTAGGGCCAAATGTTTACAAGTTGTAGCTTGATTTTTTTTAGTTGAGCAAATGTTTTGGTTTAAACATGTTAGCAGTGAAACATGCAGCAATGATTGACGATATATAAAAAGGAAAAGATTAAGTTGTTTTATCTGCACCTGAAATCAAAGCTTAGCAGTAACATGCAATTTGAGAGAGCAGAAGCTTTGTCTTGGTTATACTGGCCGAAATTGGTTAACACATTAGTACTAGTGTTGTTGGCATGATAGACATCCCAAATCTTGTTTATGATTGGGAATGTAGTGGTACTGTTGTTATGCTGTGTTGTTCATTTTAACAGTCGGACCTAAAATTACCGTTTAAAGCGATTGTTTCTCGTTTTGCATGTTAGCTGACTGATTTTCAGGTTCCACCTTTCGTGTTATGCCATGATAGATGTGCAACTAACTGCTGATTTGATTTGATGCTCCATATTAATTTTACACTTACTGAAAGTCTAATTCTACCCCTTTGGAACTTGAGTTGGAACAGGGCATCAACATTGTCAGTTGGAGGGGCTTGGAGCTGCTTCGGCATCCACAGTAGAGCAAACAAGAAGGTAATCAGCTGTTCTGATCCTAGATTCTATACTTTTTTTTGTGAATCAAAAAATATTAAAATGAATCCCCGTATTGGCGCTTTTCAAAAATTCTGAATTTACATATCCGTATCAGCCTGATACTGATACACGTATCCATATCGGTGCATTTTAGAGAACCAGTCAGCGCGGGGTACAGGCTCGCCGAGGGAGAGGCAAAGAGGAGTTGCGGGGAAGATGCCGCTGTATGACTGCATGCTGATGGTGAAACCGATGGTGACCAAGGAGGCCATAGCGGAGCTTGTGGCGCGGGTGGCGGGGCGCGCCTACCAGCGCAACGGCGTTGTCACCGAGCTCAAATCCTTCGGCAAAGTGCACCTTGGCTACGGCATCAGGAAGCTTGACGGCCGCCACTTCCAGGTCTGCCCCGGTTTGCCACTCTTTATTTGTACTCCCCGATCATAGCCTCGTATTCCCCGTGCGATGTGCCTCGTGACAGTGCGGAGTGGTGCCAATCTGATTCGTTCGGCTAGATTGATGTGTATATGTAGAAATGTTTAAGTTGGTATGAGAGTTTAGGCCTTTAGCGTTTTGGATCTTAGTGATGGGTGGTGCCTTTGACATGCTCGATGAAATGCCCAAGTAGGTTTGGCCGTTGGCTGTTAGAATGCTTGTGGGTATTGGCCTCGGTGTGATTGATAGAGTGCTTTAGTGAATAATTTGTTTAGGATCAGATCATTCTATTGATCGCAGTTAGTGTTTTAAATCAGAACTCAAGATTGCACTGGTCGAGTGTCTCGCACTGTGATCTGCTTGCTTTGAATACTGAATAGAAGCGTATAGCGGTTGGATCTTTCACGTTCTTGGGTTTAGAAGTATTCTTGGGGAAAATGGCCAGACAGTAAGTGATTCATGTGAGTCATGAAATGGCATTGCCCTTCTGCTCACCCCTTTTTACGATCCTTCTGGCTGCCACACGTTGGCCACCAACCACAGTCCGGGCGAGCTCACCAATCGGGCTTGCTTACAAATCACTGCTGCCATAAGCTCCAGCTTAGCTGACACGTCTGCTTCTCCCACCTCCACTGCCGCACATGATTCTTTGTCCCAAGTAGTGGTGTTAATTTCTTTGGCAATTCAAATGGCCAACATACAGGCACGTCCTGGACGGACCCCAAGAAGTCCAATCACTGGAAGTGATGTCACTTCTTCAAGTTTATTCTCGGCAAGTTCGAGCTTATCATAGTGATGGTTCTGAGTCTGTCCATGACCAGATTCTTTGTACTCAAGACGGTTTCAGCACCTTTTTTACTCCATATCCTTGGAGATCTTTGATATTGTCATGCAGCTGAATGACACTGCTTGCTTCTTCTGGAAGCGCTCAAGGCCTTTATTTGGTGACAATAGTACTTTTGCTGTCTACATAGAATTCACTCTTCCCATTGCTTGAATACACCTGCCATTATGACGATCTTTGCAGCATGGTCAGCTCTAAGACAGGATGCTCACTCAGAACACGTCGCTTGACCTGAACCCCTGAAAATCTAGACCTTGATGAAGGTTGCTTTGTCAATCTTCGGGTTGAGACCCTGTAACGCTTTCAGCACAAGCATCTTAGTGAAGAAGGGCTGATCACTGTCACAAAGACTATTGGGGAGTGTAGCAAAGCAATATATTGTTAATGTTCTTGAACAAAACTTTAGAGGCATTATGCCTTTCTCGGGTTCCTTTCTCTACAGGCTTCTGAGTGATCATTATTCAGGTTATATTTTTTTCTTTGATATGCAGGCTATCCTTTCTCACTTATATACTATGTATTTTTGCTAATGTATCTTTTCATGCAATCTTATTTTTTATAATTGAATCTGACCTCGAGTCCTTACCTTCTCATGCAAGATTAGTTCGTGAGTTACTGAATAATTAACAGTGGTTGGTCGAATGGTATGTGCTTTAACTTTGACCAATTGTGAACACGCCATTTCCAGTATATCTTGTATTATCACATCCTCATCTTTTGAAGTTTGTAGTTCAGGCTTTGTTTTGAAATAACTCGTCAACTTCGACCATACAGTGAGTGCTATGTCAGTCTGAAGAGGATTGCAGTGATGCATCAGTTAACTGGTTGTAACTTTCCACCCGTACCAAATTGTGATGGACCCAGTAGCAGTTGGAGTGTCAACAGATTTTTTTTCACGCAATTCTTCGATAAAACCTTCAACGAAACAGTTTGAAAATGAAATGCAGCACCCTGAGAATGTCAGCCCCCAACTCTCCGATAAATCTTGGACCAAATAGTGAGAGAAGTAAATTACAGCACCCCTAGAAAAATGGCCATAGCATCTGGGGGGCACACAGAATGCATCTCAGTGCGTTTGAGAATTGTTCTGATGCACACCTGGTTAAGCAGTGTTAAATTCCAATTGTTGTTCATTGCCATCTTTCCTTGCCTATAGCATTGCGGCATAAAGAAAGTCTAAACAGATAAATTACATCGTGTGTGGTTTGCTGATGTGCTGAAGCTGCCGTTGTGCTTTCAGGGTCAACTTATGCAAATGACCATGATGGTTCCACCTTCCTTTACTAAAGAACTGCACTATCTAAACAAGGAGGACCGGCTGCTTCGCTGGTTAGTGGTGAAGCACAGGGATGCGGTGTATGGTCTGGAGTTCATCAACGAGGACGACGGGAGGTACGAGATGGACAGCTTCCGCTGTAAAGCTGCTAGTACTCAAGATGATGATGATGTAGATGAATATGATGATGACGACGACGATGACGACGAGTACGAGGCCGAGGAAGAGTAGATTGGTGGGTGTCTCAAGATATCTGCACTTCCAGATGTGTTCCCTTGCAAGCAGTATGTGTTGTCTTCCCATATTGTTGGCTGGAAAGTAAGTAGTAGGGCAAGAAGTAGAAGAATTGAACCTGGCTGTTTTTGAGAAGAAGCTGGCGCAACTGAAAGCTGATTTTGCATGTTTTTCCCCATGCATGTATGTAAGCTTTCAATAAGGAACCAACCCATGATCTTATTGGTGCATTATCATCGCTAGGTAAGGTTTATGATGTGGTACTTATTTGCTTTGTCAGAAAATAATCCATTGTGAAAGAGAGAGATTTGCAAAGCATGGGAAACGCAGCGTACTCCTTGGTACAGAGGGACGCTGATTTTTGGCTCTGGGGAGCGTATGCTCCCTAATAAACAGTAAAATCAAAATAAATAAATAATAAATTTTAAGAATTCTGTTTTTTGTGTGGATATTAGTGTAGCAAGTGTGCTTGACAATTTTCATGTCATATGGGATAGCAGTGCTTCGTCGGTGGAAAAAAAAGTGTAACATTTGGAATTCGACTTGTTTTTCTTTCACAGATCAAAATGCTCAAGTTTTTCCCCTGAAAATTTGCACGTACCATTTGGATGTGACAATGAACATATTTTTTCTTTCTTTTTTATATTTGTAAAATTCGTTTTTGGGCATTTGGCACGGAGCCAAAATGGATTTAGTGTTAAACTCCTAAACGCACGCGCAGGTACAGAACTAGTAGTAGTACTCCCTCGTTTTTATTTACTCCCCGTAATATTAGCTCGTAAGTCATAGTTTGATCAAATTTATCAAAAACAATCTAAAATTTTCACAATACAAAAAAATTGTAGCATGAAAATTTATTGAATAATGATTCTAATGGATTATTGACCTGTGGATGTTAACTTTTTTCAATAAACTTTCAATGTTTAGAAAGTTTGACCAGAAGCAAAGCTAATACGTGAAATAAATAAAATTGAAGGGAGTATACACAATGGGCGGCCAATATCGATCGATCAGAAGCTACGTGCCAACCTCAGAACCACGCCATGATCCCGTCCTCATTGTCCTCTAAGTCGTTGTCGGTGTGTGAGAAATCTATTCCCTCTGTAAAGAAAATACAAGACGCTTACAAGAGGAAGTCGCGGCGACAAATACAATTTTTTTTGGTACTACTGACCCATCATCTTTGGTCGTCACTGATTACCCATAGGCGATAGCTATACATGTCTGGCGGATGAAAAAAAAAACCCATTGAAGTCGTATTTGGTTAGCTTTACACAATCCAGACAAGAAGGCGTACTCCCTGGTTCCGTAACCGCGAGCTGAACGAGGAACAGAGCCTATAGCAAAGGCGTCCACACACCGGGAAGAAGAAGAAGACTCGTCAGACCCCAAACGAACCCCGCCGTCTCCGGGCTTCTACTCCCCGCGCCTCGACCTCGACCTCGCCGGCGGCGGCGGAGCCAGATGGCGTCGACGACGTTCAGGCGCTTCGGCGTGGCGGCGGCGGCCGCCGCGTTCATCGCCCTCGCGGCTTTCGGATCCGCCTCGGCGTCCAAGACGGCCTTCGTCAAGTCCACCGTCAAAGCCCACGACGTCGTCATCTTCTCCAAGTCCTACTGCCCGTAAGTCCCCTCTCCCTTCTCTCCCCACCACTCGATCCGCGTCGATCCGCGCCGATGAACTGCGACCTTGGGTTTGGATGTGGTTGCTGCGCGGTCTCGCTGATCTGACAGCGGTGCTGTAGGACGTCTAGATTCTAGGGCCTTGCTTAGTGATTCAGCCCCGTGGCCTGGTAATTTTTTTTTTGTCTAGGAGCAGAGATATTAGTTTCTCCTTTGCAGGATTTCTGCAGTAGGATTTCTGAACTTGGTCAAAATTGTTTGGATGAGAATAGTCTCTCCTTTCCAGGGTCCAACTGTAGCGTGCTGACTTCTTGCTTTCTTTTGTAGTAAAACCAGAACCGAAATCGTTTGGACGGTCAGAACGCAGATCCAAGGCTCGATCTGCTTTTTTAAAGATCATTAGGATGGCAAAAGGCCCCCGGTTCCATTAAAAAATGAAACCAGAGTACAGAGTGTACAAAGTTATAAGATCATCGAAACAAAACAGGGGAAATTGAAAGCTGAAGACATGCTCCATTACACCATAAACAGAAACAGTTTTTTGTGGCAAACATGCTCTCCTCCAAAACTCACAACAAACCTGTTTTTTGTGGCAAATCTCACCTCCAGCTATCAGATCACAACCTGTTACCCAACGGACAGCAGGTGCGTTCGATTCACATGATTAGAGATCATCTGTGAGCATGCATCCGCTCTCTCTAGGTGATCCTCTTTGAGCATAATTTGCCACTTTTTAAGAGTAATCATTATCAGCCACCACACCTGTTTAATATCAGACCATAATGCATTGTTCAAAATGTGAGGCTTTCTAGTTTTCCAAATGCACCACAGAGCACAAGCACAGGCAGAATCAAATACAGTATGGTTCTTATTGGCAGGCCAATATCTAGCAATCGGAAATTAATCAGCACCTGGAGGTTTCACAAAGAAAGATGGAAGTAATTCCCAAACTTTGTTGGCCGCCACACAATCAAAAAAGAGGTGAAAGCTAGTCTCTTGTTCAGAACAGAAAACACAATCTAAAGACTTGTTTATTTTCCTCTTTTCAAGATTGTGCCTAATCATTAATATATTATGTGAGAGGAGGCAGAGAAAGACCTGTACCCGAGGTGCCACTACAATGGAGCAAACAGAGGGAATAAAGACGGGCTAAACACCTCTGAAATTAATGATGCTATATAGAGATTTTGTAGTATACCTCCCCCTCCCCCCCCTGCCGCGGGCAGAATCATACTGCCCGATCTGAGAATTTACATTGTCATTGAGTGACAAGCCCATGAAAATTTGTTCTAAATCATGCCATGGCTCTATCTGCTTCAAAACCGGAATTTGAACTGTATGAAGATTTAGGCAACAACTATTTGTTGTTGACTTGTTCGTACTGAACTGAACAGGGAGGTATATTATCTGGCCTTGCCTGGTGTTGGTGTTCTAAGTTTTTATTTTCTTAAAATTCTTGATACACTAGGTGATGAAAGAAAGTAGCAGTACTTTTTTACACTGCTTGTTTTATCCGAAACAGAAAAAGTTCTGTTTCTTCTGGTTTAGTCATTTTAGCGAGCCTCTGATTTCATGCCATAGATAATGTAGGAGAATCTGGATCTCTACTTTCCTTTTAGAATGCTTTATTAGGTTAGCATTTTGAGTTTGTCCGGTACAAGCTCGAGTCTGATCAGCTCACCAGAACTCTTGCAAGTATAATGAAATAAGCTAAACTTAAATGGTTGTGTGAAGTTGAATACTTGAACGCGAACACTTGTGAAGAGCACATGGCTATGCGGGGATATGGTCAGATAATATGAAACTGGAAGGCACTGATGTAGTCAGATGATGTGCATAATGAATTTTTTGATGATGATGCCCATAGTCAGGAGCGGAGCTGTGGCTGGTGCTACCCGGGCTGTAGCACCAGTCCAGCCCGTGGCGTAAATGAGTACGTATTACCGTATTAGGTGTAAGTGCAGCACCAGCCGCCCCATGGCACCACCACCTGGCCTACTGGAGCGATGATATAGTGATCTGTACATCTCTACGACCAGAGATTTATGATTCGCGCTTCTTCTTGTCTTTCCCCTCTCAAATTTCTAATCTCCATAAATTTCCAGGCATCAGGCAGCAGGCCATCAGCGATTCCCGCTGGTGCTCCAGCGATACTGATAGTACGATCAACTCCCCAACCAGCTGTTCCCCAATTTAGCCATTCGGCAAAGGCCAACCCTAGGGTGGTGTGTCAATTTATCCTTCTTTATTCCATCTTGTGAAACCCCAAATATATTGTAACTAGAAAACTGGTGTATCTTTGGATGGATGCATGCTTAATTCTAATTAGACTGTGTTTTGTCTTTTGTAATTTCATAATTTGCTAGGAATAGGGTGGATAGATAATACCCAAAAGATGACAGGCACTAGCAAAAGTTTCTAACACAAAGATGCACACACATTGTGCTGTTAAAGAACAGAGCATAGAGTGAATATGGATGAAATTATTGCCGATCTCTGGCTTTGAAAACCAATTGGTGAGTTTGATCTAGAGATTAGAGATTTATGTTAGTGTCAGTGGTAATGTGCTCTACTATGTTGTGTGTTGTTTGATACTATTTGGTGAATTTTTTTGCCTATCATAATTTAGCCCCACATCTACTCTGTTCCTGGCTCCGCCGCTGCCCATAGTTGCAGAACCCAACTACTGTCAACTTACCACATTTCAGTGTTTTCGTACTGTCAGAAGAAACAGTATGTTTAAGTACTCAATTTTTGCAGGTATTGTAAAAGGGCGAAGGCTGTGTTTAAGGAACTTGAACTGAAGAAGGACCCATATGTCGTCGAGCTTGATCAGCGAGGTACATCCATTCTCACTAGTTATCTGTATGCGATCATGCTCTTTGTTTATCTATCTGTAAAAGATGTTGCCTTCAATATTATGCTGTTATGTCCCCTATACTCCACAAGTTGGCTCTTGGACCGGAAACACCAACATCCTGAAAATGTCGTAAATCGCTTACAATTCACGGAATTTTTTCAATGAAAAGATTTATTCTGGTTGTGATGCAGAGGATGGTGGGGAAATCCAGGACGCCTTATCCGACATGGTTGGCAGGCGTACTGTTCCTCAGGTTTTCATCCGTGGAAAGCACTTGGGAGGCTCTGATGGTACGTAGTGTTCTGTTACATAGATCAGTTACAACAAGGATTTATGTGAACTCTTGTTCCGTCCTGACTCCTACTTTTCTGTTCTCATGGGGAAAAAATGCAGATACTGTTGACGCATATGAAAGTGGCGAGCTGGCTAAACTTCTTAACATCAGTGTCAAGGACGATCTTTGAATATCATTTTAGCACAAATATCGTCCTTGTTTTGAGGTTACAAAGGCCTTGCAATGCAACTATGGATTATCATTTTCGCAGAAACTATCACTGGTATTCGTGTTAAAAGTATAAACTGTTTTAACTGTACAATGTGGCAATCCCGCTGTTATCACTGTTATCGATCGTTGCATACTGATTGGCTGCATTTCAAGCACAAATCACAGATTGTTTCTGCATATCATCATATGCAGCGAATACAGATATGTTCCGATTTCAGTTGACGAGTTGCAGTCAGTTTTTTAAATACGCAACCTCTAAATTTTCATTGAATAAAGAGTGAACACTCCGCGTCGTGACTTGGAGTTGAGAATACCTAAGTTATTAGTAGTTTACAAATACACGCCCTCTTTAGTCATGTCCTATTGGGCATAAACCCACTAGTTCACCACTTTTACTCATATTTCTTTCAGTTTTGCCCCTCGGGCATGTAATAAGTTAGCGCACGCTTTAGCGGCCTTTGGGTCCAACCAGCTGATCTCTCGGCAATTTTGGCTTGATGATCTGCCAGATGATGTAAACGTTTGGAGGGCCAGCGGGTTTGCTGCGCCAGTGTGATTTATGGAATCGGGGTGTTCCATTTCTAAAAAAAGTAAACAAAAATAGCTTCAGCCAACTTTTTCCTGCCTCTAACCTGTTGCGCGCTGCCCCATTCTTTGGGCCTTGAGCAGCCCAGTACAAAAGTATTAATCGACCCGAGGCATGTAACGTGCGAAATCACTAATTGAGGAGCGCTCCCCGCAACTATTAGTCGGGGAGCGCTCCACGCGCGCCAAGTGTCATGCGCGGAGCGCTCCCGAGACTTTTCGGATGCGCTCCGCGCATGACGCTTGGCGCGCGCACGGCTTCTCCCTGATTTTCGGTTTTCGGTTTTCCTTTATGGTTTTTTCTTTTTTCACTTTAGTCCTTATACTTCTAATGTTTTGTAATACCTTTTGATCTGTTTTGAGATTTGTTTCTCGTTTCTCTCTATTGTGGGCGAACCCTCGTCGCACATTGTTCGTTCTTTGCCGTCGTCTCCGCCCGTCGCCGCCGCTGCTCTTGTCGCGTGGTTACGGCGGCAGTTGTTCCGGCCGCCGCGCTTGTTGCCTGCTCTTACGGTAGTCCTTCTTTAGCGTCGAGCGCGCTTCCCCGTTCGTGATATCGTCATTCCCTACTGGTTGCCTTCGTGTGTTCCCTGTTTCCCTTTCTCGTTTCTCTTTTTGTTCCCATTATATTTCTGGGATATGGAGATTTATGGGGTAGTTACGGGTGGGGACTACCAACACTATCAGATGTCAAGTTTCAACTGGGTTTTGTCGGATTAGTTGTTGATAACCATTGTGTTCCTTGCAGTTATGGCTTGTCCTTTTTGCCGTATGCCTGGTGGCCCGTGTTCTTCTGTTGATTCTTCTGTAGACGGGTTCAGTGTGGTCCTGGATCGGCGTTGTTGGAGGCGTGTTGTAAGAAAATCATTTTATAGTTGTTCAATTTTTGGCACACACGCTTATTTCTTTTGGTGCTGCCCATGCTGTTTAGATTTTGATTATGATCCTTGTTTTGATTTGTTGTGCAGTATGTTTCGTGCAGTGTTAGAGCTCATCTTGCTCGTTACATCGAGGAGTGTAGGGCTTTAGCCATAAGGAGGGGTGACGAAGATACTGATCTGGCTCTTCAGTGCAATGAGGGTTGTTTCTATGGTGTTCTATTTAGTCATGGTCGTGTGAGGAGCAAATTCCATGGTCCTTCCTGGGAACGATTGGTCAGTGATTATGGTGTTCGTCCTCATGATATAATGACCATTAGGCTTGAACATTATGGAACTTGGATTGGTATTGATTTTTATCGTGTTGGTCGTGGAGATGCGTTGTCTCCTTTACCGTCTGTTGGTAAGGTTTATTTTTAAGGAAGTTTTTATCTTGTTTTATTGTACATTTTGATTTTTCTGTTTCCTTGAGCCTGTGTAATTATATTTTGTAGCTCTACATGGTTTGAGCGACTCCGAGAAGGAGCTTGTTGGGAGTTGTTATTACACCCATGGTGTTTTTCTTAATTATCAGCAGATGTATTTCATGAGGTGTCAACTATTTGATGATGACTACATACCCTGTTGTCCTTTTGTTCACAGGATTGATTCCATGAATGTTAATGGTCATCATATGGTCAGATTTTTTTCCCATTGTTTCTTTTGTTTCTGTTTATTTATTTATTTATTTTTATTACGTCTTCTATTTATAGTTTTGATTTTTTATTCTATTTCTGATAGCTTGATGTTTTTTGTCAGGTTATTCCTGGTATTGTTGTGAGGAGTTTGAAGGAGTTTGTGACTTTTCCTAGAACTGGCGTTTTAACTCTTGAAGTTACTCTGGAATCTGGTGATGATGATATATATGTGAGCACTCCTTGCTCCTACTTCATTGGTTTGGGTAATAGAATGGTGTTCAAACAGGAAGGTTTCAGTGATTTTCTTCAGGCATCGTCTATTGAAGTAAACAGCTTGGTGCTGATAACTTTCAAACTGCTTGTTGGGAGGCTTGTTGTTATCTTCAATCTTCTGCCGCATTGATGTTAGTTATAGCCTTTGAACATAATGGATTTTGATGTATAAGAGGCTTGGCTGTGCATCTCTTTTAATGATGTTTCTTTGGATGGATGTTATTTAATTGTGGTAAAAGTTATAAATACAGGCACGTGTGTTGTTTACTCTGAGGCATGGCTGTGCATCTCTTTTATGTGAGAGGCACCTAGATTCAGCAAACTGAGGCACGGAATTGAAGTCAGAACATGCACGGTTGTGTGGAGGCACGTAGAGTTACCACGGGTTTCATGTGAGGCACGTGGTTTCAGCAAACAGAGGCATGGAATTGCAGTCAGTACAAGCACGGTTGTTTGGAACACGAGTATACTGAGAGGAACGTGTGTGCAATACCAAAGTTACAAGGGCGATGACGCGTGCCTAACACGCAGAGATACTGTGGGTTTCATGCGAGAGGCACGTGTGTGTAGCACGTAGAGTTACAGTGGGTTTCATGTGAGGCACGTGGATTGAGGAAATGTAGGCACGTAATTGAAGTTAGTACAGGCACGGTTGTGCGGAGGCACGGGCGATCAGTCGCGCGGAGCACGTAGAGTTACTGTGGGTTTCATGTGAGGCACGTCGATCGAGCAAACGGAGGCACCGAAGTGCAGTCAGTACAAGCACGATTGTGTGGATGCACGGTTTTGAACCCTCTTGCTGCTGTCAAGTGTCTTGAGGACGGATGTATGTCAGCAGAGGCATCAGTTCAAATATTTGGTTAGAGAGGCTCGGTTGTGGATGCACATGTGTGAAGTCTCTAAGGTCATGGGTGCGTGGCACCAGAGGCATGGGTTGAGTTTACACTTAGAGAGGCACGGTTGTACATGGGTCAGTTGTACACGGTAGTGTAGTTTTGTGGCATCGTGAAGGACTGGTGTACGGAGAGGAACCTGTGAATGGACGGTGTGGTCAAAGTAACGAAGTTCTTGTCCCTTGCGTCTGTGTACCGAATGTTCTTCTGCAATATTTATGAATTGTTTATGCCAATGTTGAATAAACATTCTATTGAAAGTTTGCAACGATACCATCACATATTCTTGTAAATGCATGATGCATCTTGTAAAGGTTGAGTATGAAAATTATAATACAATGTCGTGCGACATATCTCTCATTCTATAGTCATGGATATAATATATGCTTGCTCAATACTGGGACATAACTTACTAATTACATTTAGACACGCACACCACTGTGTTCAAAGTTCAGACGTAAAATAGTAATACAATACAGACAACATCTTTGAGCAAGAACAAACATATTTACAACATGGGTTCATTCAACCTAAATTATCATAATAGTTGTGCCACGCACCTGATCACTTGATCACGGCAGATCAATCAATCACGACACGATCCATTTTCTCGCAATTTACCAACCGCTGCTTCCCTTCCGGCGCTTCCAGCCGCTGGAAGATCCCTCGTCTTTGTTCTTACGCGGGCGGAGTCTTTCTTTCACTGGTTGTTGGTGGAGGTGACATAGCCCGTTCTTGATGATTAGGATTCTACGGTACAACTCGTAGCTAACATACCCGTCCTTTGCCGCGTACTCAAGGTGTATCGGGGAAAGCGGCTTCCACTCCCAGAACTGGTGCTTCTCCTTTGGGAATGATTTCTTCATGTTCTTGTATGAGGGGTCGATGATGGCCGCTGCAAGGTCAGCCATGGAGTCCCTTTCTCCACCACCCTTGATGCAGAATAGCCTCTGGATGTCGACGTGGTGCTCGTCTGGAATTCTGATGCATGCACGGGCAAGCATGGTCTTGTCATTCCTAGTGTCGACGCTGGTGAAAGTTACCGCTTTCCGTTGCAGGAAGTCAACTAACGCCTGGGAGCGCTCGGACCTGCAGTAGTGGTATACAAGGACATGCTCGCGCATGGAAAGTTGGACGACGGCGATCCCTTGTTGTACGTAACTGCTCTTACATGTGTACTCGAGGTCGAGGCCGACGAACTTGTTCTTCTCCTCCTTTAGCCATTCCTCGTACTTTTTGATGATCCGCTCCACGGTCCTTGGGTCGTTGGTGTACACCACCTCCAGCATGGTTGTACTGTGGGTAGTGATGTGCTTGGTGAATGTTGTTATTTTCCCGCCGTCCATGGCCGGAGGTGTGCGGTGGTGAACTGTGGCCAGCGAGAAACTTTGGAGGAAGAAGATGCAAATGGAGTCGGAAAAGTGAAAGGGATCTTTTGTCGTGCAAAAAAGGAAACCGCCAAAGAGCAGTTTCTAGTCACCAGGCGGTTCCAGGCGTAGATTTTTGTAAACAGTCGTTTGTTTTGTCTATTTTTTAAAAAGATTTTCACTTATCTCGTTCTTTGAATTTTTTTTATTCGTTGCGTGCTGCGTGCGTGATCCATATGTGTGTATTCCATCTTTGGCTGTGAAAGTAGTCGTGTGAATGGTAGAA